AAAAAAAAAAAAAAAAAAGATCCCCTGACTTGAAAGAGATCACCAGGAACAAACGGGGTTGGGGGGTGGGGGGGAAAGCAAGAAGTCGGACGGATTCCTTTTTTTTACATGTCAAACATTTCTTTACAGTGACATTTCTGCTCGCTGAAGTGGGAGGACGCTCACAATTTGTAATGCTGAAATATGAGAGAACGGAACCGGGGCGGGTGAAGGCACATGGGAGAGGACTGTCCGTGCACTCTGGGCTCTAAAAGAGGGAAACAAAACAAAACAAAACAAAAAAAAAAAAACCCACGATTTGCTTGGAACTGGATTTAGCGAAGTGGGATGATTACAAAAAGTTGATCTTTGGTTCCGGACGAAGCTCTGCACACCTATCACGCCAAACCAACTTCAATGGATAGACAGACTGAGAGGGCTGTAGACGCACACTGTTATAGTTTCATTTAACTTTTCATTAGAGTTGGAAGATCCGACCTCCTTCAGAAGGGAGAGCCGATAATCCAGCATTATCTCGGTTACTGAGGCCAAAATGTTGCGGTTGTCTCTGACAGCTCTGAGTCTTTCATGGACTTTGTTCCTCTGCAGCGTGAGCAGAACTTATGCACAAGAAAGACAGTAAGTAGCTTGATGTTTGCATGTGTTGTGTTTGAAGTGTAGTGCAGTGCTTTAAACCTTAAACATTTCTAATGCTCTCAGTCGGAGGCTGTAACATATAAAACACTAAATTCAGCCACAAAGTCTCAAAATCAAATCTAAAAAGAGAGGGATTATTCAATTTATGTGACATGAGGACATGGCAGCATTAACATTTTAATTCAAGAATGCGCAAAAAAGCATCTTGAGCATTATTCTTTTAGAATTTACCGTATCATATTGTTTGTGATTATGTGAGAATGCCATGTCATTACAGATAATCACTTGTACTATCACAACACCTTTCCATTCATGCTTTTTTTTCTTCCAGTTTTTCATTCACTGCTTTGTTATTGTAGCAGTGATATACTGAAAGGTAGCTTGCACTGCTGATTTTGTTGTGATAGGTCATTGCTGGAATATAGGCAGCTTTTGGAGAGGTTTTCTCATGCCAGTTAAGGTAATGGCAAATCATTCATTGGGTTTCTGCTTTATTCAGTTTATACCTCCAGAGGCAAATTGACTTTTGGCTCTTTGATGCCATCAGTCAGGCTGCTTTCAGCTTTAATTCTGACCTTGAGAGTCGTGTAAGTAGAGAGTTGTAAACAATTCGTCCAGGTTGTCGAGATGGGAGGGATTGAGTGTAGCTCTATGTAGTGAATTAACACAAATGCAGGCTTGATTCACAAAAAAAACCTTAAATATAGTACTAAATCTTAAACCGCTCAGCTGAGGGTGAAATTTGGGCAGAAAGCAAAAGGCTAAGAACGTAAAACCATGTGAGTGAACTTAAAAGAACTGACTGTTAAAGATTTCACCTACAAACGAGAACACAAATCCTTATCAGGCACTGAGCAGCTCTCAACTGAGGACAAAAGTTGGGCAAAAACAATGAGAACATGAGTACATGAAGCCATGTGACTGAAATAAGCATGGTCTCCACCACCTGATCCAGGCTCATCCAAGAGCTGGTTAAACTCACTGTAGATCAAACGCACAGAGTCAATTTCCTCGTATTATCTTCCTTCTCCCGAAGCCTTATTTTCCAGGGATTTTCTCATGACTTTCTCTCTCAGGAACTGCAGTTGCCTCCGGCTGTAATGCTGTAGTGCCGTAATGCCAACCACCTGATCCTTCTCTCAAGCATGCAATTGGGTTTGCGCTTGAGGCTTTGCTCACTCCTAATTTGTGTGATCTATTTGTGTGAATTTTCGGGGGGTGAGTAAGCATATTTGCCTTAAAAATAGTGTTGGAATGACTGGGTTGAGACTAAAACAAACGAGATATTTAGGCATATATTGTTTTAGATACGTAGTCTGCCACATGTTGAGTGGATGCTTTTATCAACTGCTCCACACACCCCTAACGTAACCCCTAACAGACCACACTCCCATACCAATTTAGTTATACAGGACCATGCTAACAAGAACGCTTACTAATCTATCTGTTACCTGTGAGATATAGCCTCTCAGCGGCAGATGGCAGATTCCTTCATCCAAATAAAACTTTAAATTGCCCCTCCCACACACACACACACACTGTTGATAAGCATCAAAGAATGACCTTTGCTCTGTGACCTCAGTGACAGGCTCCTTCCCTCAATTAAATGTCAGAGTAACTGTGTGGAATCTCAGTCGTTATTTTTCAAAACAGACGCCAAGGTTCTGTCAGAGGTGCCAGACCACCCAAAGAGAACACTAGAGCAGCAAGCTCATTGGCCAACAGGTACTGTGTCCCTGGTAACCATTGCAATTAAACCTGATCTCGCTGCACAAATCCATGTGGAATGTCTCTGTTTGTATGCATGTTTTGTTGTGTATGCGTGCATGTGGATGTGCGTGCAGCTCAGAAGGAGAAAGCGAGAAACGTTCACCTGTATGACAAAAAACAACATAATTACATTCACTTCAAATCAGGAATGGGAAATAGTATCAGTGCACCTCAAAGCTGAGCGGTGATGTAGTGCATATTATTTCAAATGCAGCGTAATTTACCTCTGTCCTCCTTGTGTCTCTTTGTTCTTTGACCTCTACTTTATCCACTGCCACCAATTCTCCCTCTGTTTTTCCACTTACACTTTTTGTCCTCTTCGTCCTCCCCTGCGTACTCCTATGTCCACTTGTTCCTACCTCTTTATCTCTCCCCATCTTCCCTTTTTCCACCTTGCTCTTCTTCTCTCAGGGGCTATTTGGTCGCTGCACCCTCTGTGTTTCGAGCAGGCGTGGAGGAGAGAGTGAGCGTAACCATCTTTAATGCGAAAGCAGAAACACGCGTCCAGGTGCAGCTGTCGGTGAAGGGACAGGCGGTCGCCCACAGCCATGGCTCAGTGCTCGGTGAGAAGCTAAGGTTACACTGGCACAACGCATTAGTTCTGGAGAGAAAACTTGCACTAACAAGTTGAGCTATGAGACACCACCTTCTGTGTGATTTTGAGATCACACCGGCTGACAAAAACCTAGATGTAGGTTGAAGAACACACACAACGTAAGCCTGATTGACCTCTGACCTCACCGTGCGCTCCTGACCAGCTATGCTTTTCATAGACATTGTCTTTGATCGGAGGCATCAGTTCAGCCCATCCCACCAGCCACTTAGTGTATACAGTGTGTGATTTGTTTGACAGCACCATTAATAGATGGTGCTAGCTCTACCTCAGAGTGGCATAGAGACAGGCTGCAGCTGGATCTCCTGCTAACCCAGGGTGAACACCTCCAGGCAAACTCAACCACAGTCTAGTAGCTCTCATACCTACTGGATATTAATAGCATTATACAGATGTTCACACAGATTTCCGAGAATTGGGAGAAGTATAGAGAATTGAGATGAGTGTATGAAAATGGTCTAAAATTGCAGCACATTAAAATATCACATTGTTTCTATTTTAGGCAAAGGCACCATCAAGCTAAAGGTGAGTCTTTAACTGTGTGTTCAACTTAGTTTGTGTTTTCTCAGCAGTGTCCTACAGTATGTGCATGCTGCTTTCCAGAGACGTTTAAAATGCACAGCGCTGTTTAGCGGTGACAGCTGCACAGTAGTGAGAGCCCCTTGTCCGCTGTGTGCACATTCCTCAGGCAACATGCAAATCAACACTAACATTATTTGTAATGCAACATCTGTCTCTGCTCATTCATTGGGAATAAGGTAACAGCCTCAATATAATATGCAACAGCTGTTGACGTGCATGTATGGTCCGCCGCCCCGAAGGCTGGAATAGATCAATCTAGTATACACAACTCGATTCTTCCCCTCTGTCTCTCTCTCCCTCCTTCCCTGTAACCTCCACCCTCATTCTCGTGAAATACAGTCATGTGCAGTGTGCTGTGTTATAGCTTGGCATCTTCCTCTGGTGTTTAAATGTAGTTCTTTTTTTACGCTGTAGCTGTTGTTCCATGAAAATGTATTTAAATATGTTGAATCAAGATGATTAATTTCGAATAGTGTACAGCAGCCTGCAGTAAACATTTCAATCCTTGCCCCATTGACCTAATTTACTTTTGGTAAATACAGCCCTGATCCCCTTTGTGTTTGTTTTTGTGCATGTTTAAAGTCTATCTATCTATCTATCTATGTATGTGTGTGTGTGTGTGTGTGTGTGTGTGTGCGTATGTGTGTGTGCCACCAGGTTCCCTCAGGGCTAAGAGGCCAGGCCCATCTGAAGGTGTGGGGTAACCGTCACCTCACAGAAGGAGGCTACATCTTCCACAACTACACCACCGTCACAGTGGAGAGCAAGGGCACGACTGTCTTCATCCAGACCGACAAGCCCGTCTACAAACCCAAACATAAAGGTTCCCTCATAGTGCACCTGGTA